CATCCTGTCCATTCATGTAGATGATATTTTACTTTTCTCTAACAATATCGGTATGTTAAATAAAGAAAAGTTATTAATTGGCAAACGATTTAAAGTTCAAGACTTGGGTGAAGTGAACTATGTTCTCGGCATGGTAGTTAAACGTGACCGGAAGTCAAGAAAGCTGACCATTAGCCAACCAAAATATCTTGAAGGTATTCTCAAGAGATTTCAAATGGAAAATTTTAAACCCGTCAGTACACCAATGGAAGCAGGAAAACAGTTTTGTGCATTATCCGAAGATGAAAAGCCCATTAATGTTCAAGAGTACCAAAAGATGATTGGATGCCTTACATATGTTTCTACGGCAACACGTCCCGATTTAGCAAGTGCAGTAGGAATTCTGGCAAGATACATGTCTAGACCTGGAATGGAACATTTCAAAGGAGTAGAAAGAGTTTTAAGATATATTAAAGGGACTATTAATCATGGTCTAGTATTTAAAGCTAATGAAGAAAAGCAAATGATCATTGGATATTCTGATGCTGATTGGGGAAACGATTTGGATACTAGAAGATCAATATCTGGGTATGTGTTTCAAGTCAAAGGAAGTACGGTAAGTTGGTGTAGCAAAAGGCAAACATGTATTGCAAGGTCTTCTACCGAAGCTGAATACGTCGCACTAAGTTTAGCTACACAAGAAATTGTATGGTGGAAGAAGCTCCTACAAGATGTGAATGTAAGATCAGAAAAATCATTGGTTATTTATGAAGATAACCAAGGAGCTATCGAACTATCAAAGAATGCTAAGTTTCATAACCGCACCAAACATATTGACATTGCATTTCACTTTATTCGAGAGAAAGTTGGGAATGGGTCAATTGATGTGAAGTACTGCCCTACAGATCAAATGTTGGCCGACATCATGACCAAAAGTCTATCCAAGGAAAAATTTATAAAATTCAGAGAACAATTGGGAGTTTCTGAAATCAATTAACTTTAGTCTTGTTTAATAATGATATCCTCAAGTGGGAGTGTTAGGAATGACGATACATTATATGTGTATTAAACTAAGTATAAGATATCTGCTCATAGAACTAGTCACATGATCTAGTAAGCACTATTTATTGTATGCTAATTTAAATATTTTCACCTTTTGACTTGTGTTCTGCTCGACACCGCATGGCAAATATATGTCGTTTTGCTTGTGCTTTAACAATAAATTAACAGCAGTGAGAGATGAAACGTTGGTAGAAATTAACGAGACCAAGAAATTCACGTAGCTTGCGGAGAGAGTCTGGTCGAGGAAAATTGCGGGTTTATGATAACACTATACTGCCGAAGATGAATGAAGAGAAGGCGAAGATGTTGTTAGTGCTTTGAGGCGTTTGAAGTTGCAATGAGTATGTCATCAATGTAAATGAGCACAAAATCTAGATCACGAGTGATGTCGTCCATGAAACGTTGAAATGTTTGGGCTGCATTACGGTGACCAAAACGCATGTGGCTAAATTCAAATAGACCAAAGGTTGTCGTGACAGCTGTTTTGCATACGTCTTCCTCGGCGACAGGAATTTGATGATAAGCACGAACTAAATCGTGACACTGCATATTTTAGGGGGTAAAAATTATCTTTTATTAGGGTAGTTATCAGATGGGTAATTGACTAAATTACCCATCTGATAATGACTAAATAATTGACTTTTATTAGGGTAGTTAACAGATGGGTAATTATCAGATGGGTAATTGACTAAAGAGTAATATTTACTCTAAAATCTTGGGTATTTTGCTATCCGTAATTTAAATTTCACCCTCAAAATAATGGTAACGTTTACAATGACCCTCTTTGGGTGTAAATGCAACATGTGGGTGTAAAAACTACCCCATGCGTTTGGGGCAATGCCAAATGCAATGCATTTTTTAAAATAAACATGGCGGAATTAAGCAAGAGTGAAAGAAACATGCTTCTTCGTCAGCAGAGTCGAAACCACTTTATCGGAATATTAACATTTATGGTCCATTTCTCCAAGATTTCTTGAATAAAGTAAGTATATATTATATTGATTTATAGTATATTTAAATAACACCACGTAATGTAAGAGTTGTAAACGAATACTGAATACATGCTCTCATTACTCTGAAGTTCTGAACTCTGTTGTATCTTGAATAGCCTCTTGTATTAATAACCATTTAGGATATTTGCGTACTATAGAAAAGGCTGCATTTAGGTTATTTTAGCAAAATGACCTAGAGATAGAATCTTAATTGTCTAGGGTTAAGACTATTTTTCTTTTGAGTACGTTTCTCTTTGCGATTGTCGCTCTTGAACAACTCAAATGCAACAGAGGTTGTGTTTTGTTTTAATGGGAAACATATTTTTCTACTAGAGAAGGTTTATCCTTCTGATTATATTTTAATTCATATTATGCTCGCCTTTTAATTCAACGTAAAAATGCAAAGTTTTGTTCCTTAAATAACAGGTATTTGATATTTTGGACACACAAATATTTTGTTTTGCCCATGAATTTAAAGCCAATGTTGTATATGAATTTAAATGTCCAGGTGACCACAACCTATACATACATAGGCAAAACTGAACGAAACCTACACACAAGACTAACCCAACATGCCACTAATTACAATAATTCTAGTGCTGTCTCACAATATTTATTCATTTGTCCAGACGCCAACTACATCTCACATCTTTTCTCACTTCCTGACGTTGATTCCGACCCCGATCTCACATTTATTTATCTATTTATTTACACTTATTTAAACACGGTAGTATCTCAACTTAGATCCTAAAATACAACTACATATAAAAAAAGAGTTGATTTTCAGATAGCCGTGTGATAAAATAAAAATAAAAAGTATACTACATCTAGGTATAGAATAAACAAACAAAAAAAACAAAGTATGAGCTATATAAAAAAAATATTAAGTCTATAAAGTTTATGCATGCAATGGATATTTTCTTTTAGCTTCAATATTATTCCAAGCGTCTGCACCTCTCTATGCAAAGCTACGTTTTAAGACATTTGTTTTTGGTTTTGGCAAGTTGAGAACGTGATTGTTATTTCGTACTTTATACATTCCATTACTACGTATTGAGAAAAACTGTTGAAGATAATCTATAGAATTATCTTTCATTATTTGCATCATTAAATTCCCTAATTGCGTTTTTCTCCTTGCCTCTAAGGTGTCCCAAGAGAGTTTAGCTCTTACAGAGTCTGAGGCAGATTTATAGCAATCACCTGTAATTATTCGGCCATTTTTATTTTGAAGTTTTTGTAATTTAATCTGTAAACTATCGGAGCAGTTGTTCTATACCAAAAAACAGTAATCAAAATGTGGCAATACAAAAGCATTATACATGACTTTAAGCGTGTCTTTATCAAGTATTTTTTTTGATTTACGCAGTACGCCATTTCCCTTGGCAGCATTTTTGGCCACATTTTCAATATGATTTTTCCAACTGTGCACTTATCCACAACTACACCAAGTGTCTTGGTGGATGAAACACGTTTAATGGCCTCAGTCCCTATCGATAAAATTGGATCAGCACTAACTTGGGACAACTTTTGTCTTGTTCCAATTAACATATTTGAGATTTAAGGTCAGCTTATTACTTAAAAGCCACATATGGACTTTATGTAATTCAATTTCCAAATTTTTTTGAATCTCGTTTCATGTAAAGGCACAAACTGTGAGATTTGTATCATCTGCAAAAAGTGCTGGTACGGAGGAACTAAGACAATTCGGCAAATCATTTATATAAAGTAAGAAAAGAATAGGACCAAGATTTGACCCCTGTGGTACACCCTTCGTTATATTTTTACTGTTTGAAATAGATATTCCTACTTTACATACTTGTTTTCTGTTACTTAGATATGAGATGAACCAGCTAAGCGCATTATTTTTATGCCATAAAGTTCTAGTTTTTTTTAACAAGATACTATGATCTACGGTGTCAAAAGCCTGCTGTAAATCCAAGTAAACTACGCCATTTATGGAGTGATGACAATAGCAGAATCTTTCAAAAATTTGGAAGATATTTTGTCTAATCCAGCACCTTTATCGCTTTTAAGTTTTGATATTTTTTGGTAAACTGTTTCATCCGAAATTGTAAGAAATTGAAATTCACAATCTAACGGATTTAAGTAATCAGAGAAGTCTTTAGGACTTTCAGGAAGTTTATTTGATAATTTAGGGGCGATTTCTACGAAATATTTATTTAATTGACTAGCTCTTGATTTTTCATCATAAATATTATTGCCCATTTCATCTTTGATTGTTGTAATGGTGGAGGTTTTGGAACATCGACCATTTTCACTAATGACTTGATTTATATTTTTCCACATTTCTTTTGGATTATTTTTGTTCATTTCAATATTTTCCTTACAATATCGTAATTTTGTAGACTTAATCAACTTATTAACTTCGTTACGTTTAGCTTGAAAAACTCGGTAAACATTTTCTGAGTTTGTTTTAACGGCTCACTTTTTCAAGTAATCACGCTTGTTCATCTCACATCTAATCTGAGCTGTTAGCCAAGGAGCATAAGTGCTTCTGACTTTCCTAGTTTTTATTGCAGTATAAATGTCTGATACGTGATTAAAAATGTCTTTAAATTGTGCCCATAAAATATCAGGATCACGATGATTCCTATTAGAGTCTGTCAATAAGTAAAAAAAATGGTTACTGAAATGATCAATGTTGTAATTTTTTAGATTTCTAGTTTCAACAATCTTAGGTTTTTCACGCTGCAAACATATTTTAAAACATGCGTATACCATTAATCATTACTTACTAAGAAAAACGAAACCGGCTGTATTTCAAAGACTATAAACTGCTCGAAACAGTGCAGTCTAATTTCTCTCTTTACTCTTATTTTGATAAATTTAGCAACCACGGACAGCTATCGTTAAAATGTTCTTATTTATGAGCGCGTTCTTTTTATTTTACACATATATTCATATGGACCTGTTTACTTTACCAGTTTTCACCTGCTGTAGCATCCGCTTTGGCGAATAATTGCCTGACTGGGACACTAAGGAGCGAATTTATAAGGGATATATGTACAGACATAGCATCTCATAGCATCGCTTACATAAACAACGAGGAAAGAAATAAAGTTTCTTTGCCAATTGTCACTAAATACCCACATCTCAAGGATGCTATAGGAAGTGGATTCGTATGTCATAACTCATAGAGTAATTAAACGTACAGGTATATTTAAATTTTGCGAAGTGATCTTGCGTGACAGTATATTTAGCACAAACTTCTTTTACCACAAACGACGACAGGCAAGCATTTCTGCCTGAATTTGAACTTGTTCCTATTATTGTGTTTAGGCTACACGAAAGAATGATTCTGATAAGCAAATTTTTCTATGTTCCTTTACTGCAAGAACAGTCAATTTCCCAAGAAAGAATTAAATGATGCTCTGTTTATAGCTACAAAGCAGAGCTAAAACTTCTAATCTAGTTAGATCAGTTTATGTTTCCCACATATATCATAATGATCAAAGTGAAGAATGTCTAAGTGTAAGTCAACATTCTGCTATTTAAGGAAAATGAACAAGTGTGCGCTTTTCTTCAAAAATTATAAATATATACAATAAGTGGTGATTTGAAAATTTTTAGGGGTCTTGGTCTGAATCAATCAAAAATCGACTTAAACATGTTCGAAAAAACGAGAACAAAAAGAAACGAAAGTCATTGACTGTTGACTTTGATTTCCAGGGCAGCGTGACTCATCCTCGGAAAGGAAGGCCAAGACAAACAAATATCTGGAGCGAAGTACCATCATGTAACAACACAACGGAGACCATTCACAAGGAGCATATTTTACACTTGCAAAGTGAATGCCGCAAATCATCATCCATTCAAGATTATGGAATTATTAAAGTATTAATGAATTCAACTTACGATTTCAGACGAAGAAACATATTGACTACAGTTGTTCCTGTTAAAGATATCGTACAACAATATCCTCCTTTATCCACACTTAAAGGGGTTAGGGGTTGAATACGTTGCATTGTGACAAAGTCTTGCTTTCACTATATTTTACAATAAATCAGATGTTTCACAAACATTATTTTGCAGTTTTAGATTCGCCATGAATACTGCAGAGTGATGAGAGATCATTCTGCCGTTAAAGACATGAAGTCGTCATTCTCTAATTATCGAAAAGCAATCTTGAAGTACCTAAAAAAACAGTATCAGAAGAAATAGAGGACTCCTCCGGAGGTAAAAATAGCATAGTAAAGACCTCTGAAAAATACTACTAAAAGATAATCTGCATGAGCATTTTGTAGCTATGGAGTATAATATTTAAAAATTATAATACATACAGATTAGAATACATACACTTAGGAAGTTAAAAAAAGTATATACTAAATATACAAAACAATTGCTCAACCTAAAATTCGAAATAAAGCCATTTTTTTCTTTTTTTTCGAATTTTATGTTGGGCAATTGTTTCTTTAATACGTATCCGTTTCCCAACTGGCAAGTCTCTCGCTTTTAGTCACAGGGTATTATAAATTACAAGGTGTAGCGATGACACTGTCATCCCTATATGCTTTCCGCGTGGTAAATTTATTATCACAATATTTAAGGAAAATATAATCATTTATAAATGTTAAGTTGTGTTAACTTTTAAACAGACTTTGAAACAACAAGTTCAGTGATGCTGTTAGTCCATTTGCTAACCAAGAAAACGTCTGAAAATAGCCCAGCATGATGGAAATGCTGTCGGTAAGCAATGATAAAGACTTCCTAGTGAATTGCATGCAACGCTTGTGTCGATGTTCTTCTTTAATTTACTAGAAACGTTTTCCATACAGTGCGTTCATCGAGGCAACTTTCAAACACTGAAGCATTTTCTTTTTTGTGTATGTTTTATGAAGATGATGATTTGCCGTACAAAATAACCCGCACCACCAATCCACGAGTTTTGGTTATTGGTGAAAACATACTGAAACCTGACCGGCTACTATTGTGCGTCGAAGGACGACAACTCGTTGACGTAACTTCATTTTCTTTAGACACAGTCCTTTTTACGCTCTATGCAACATACTATGTATTTTCTATAGCTTATTCCCAAGATCATAAGGATGTATTTCTTTTTATTGATTCCGTTTTTGTTGGGTTGCAGCACACTGCTACCAATAGAATTATCTTGCAAAAATTTATTAAAGCTCTTTGCCAGTTTAAAGTAAACATTAGGTGGACATTCAAACCATAACACTGGACATTTAGACCATTTTTCTGTTACGGTGGACACATGTTTTATGTTGGCGTAGCTAGCTTAATTATTGAGGGGAGTACTCAAGGGTGGCGGAGTATTGAAAATTGGGGGGGGGGCGCTATTACTCATTTGTGCCCGTTCTACTTTACATTAAAATTAATTAGTTTTAGGAATTATAACATATGAATATATGAATTCCCCTTCCCCCTCACAATTATCAATGTTCTGCCAATGTTAGAGTATTATGTTTGCCAATACTCTGTCAATGGTTGAGTAGTTATGTTTGCATGTTGAACCTCGTTACTTTTCCTTAAATCAAATCTTTTTTCATTTAACTCCTAGCCTTAAGGGTAATTTTTACTCCCCAAAACTTACAGTGCGATCTTAGAGACAATAGCCATGGATTAGTTTAATTGGACGGTGTGGAATGCGTTATCATGGGTATTGGTGTATTGTGAATATAATTGGTGTTAATATCATTAGATTGTGATGTTGTAGTTTTGGTGTTGTTTGTAATTTTTTGTCATTTTTCTTTAGTTGTGAGTATATGATTGGCATGTCAATGTGTCTGTTTATTGTGTCGTTGTCTTTACTGTACCAAGCTTCTTTAAATTTGCGTGCGTGTTTAGTCTGTGCGCGTCCGATTAGTTTAATTTCTGTCGAGTCGAATGTGCGCTTGTTTCTGTGGGTATGTCCTGCCGGTAGTGAGTTTGGATCTCGTCGTTTTATGGCGTTTTTGTGTTCTGTGAGTGTTGCTTTATTTATCTTTGATGTTTGTCCTACGTATTGTTTTGAGCAGTCTTTACATGGTATCTTGTAGATCGCGTCAGTTGTATCATGAATTGTTGTTTTGTCTTTATGTTTAATGACACGTTGATATTAAATGGTCTGGCAGTCATTTATGAAGTTCCGTTAATGTATAGTAATGTAATGATTTTTATTGTTTCGTCCCGTTTCTTGTTGCTTTTGTTGGTTTGTGTTTGTCTTGTATTTTGCTTATAGTTTTGTTTATGAAGTTTCTAGGATAATTGTTTTTAGTAAATGTGGATTATAAGTAGTTGCGTTCTGTTTTCTTGGCTTCCTCGGTGTTACAATTAGTGTTTATCATGTTAAGTGTTCGAATGGAGCTTATTTTGTGTTGTGTTGGTTGATTATTAAAATCGAGTATTTCGTGAGTATGGGTAGTTTTGCGGTATACTTGTGTGTTTAGTGTACCGTTATCTATTCTGGTTAGTAGGATGTCATGGAAAGTAAGTTGTTTGTCGTGCTCTTCGTCTTTAGTGAAGGTTATATTCTTTGTGGTATTGTTTATGGTGTGTAGGATTTGTTCAGTTTTGTCTTTCTTGACTATGGCAAAGATATCATCGACATATCTTTTCCATAGTCTGATGTTTGTGTTGTTTGTGACTGCTTGTGTGGTTTTGTGGTGTTTGTTTTGTGACATATATATATATATATATTCATAAAGTGATGTAGGAAAAATCACAGAAACTACAGATTCATCCCGACAGGCCTGCTTCGCCATTGCTCAGTCTTTGGGGGATTTACTGAATAAATACTTAGGTTAGAGTATTAATTAGCGTGTATAGTTAAAAATTACATAGGAGGGTTTGGGACCTATGGCGACAGTAGTTATAGTGCAGGTATGCTCCCGGAAGTAAACGGAGCTCTTACCTGTGTCAATTAGTTTCCAGTCGTAGGAAGTAAACATGGCGCGCTCGTTTAAACCATTGAGTTCTATAAGACCTGGAGGGGAAACGTCAACCAAATTACTATAAATTATCAGCGCGCGGCTGCGTGGTCAAAAACATGGCGGATTTTGGTTGTCAAAGTCAGCGGAAAGACGTGGGCTCATAAAATGAAATTTTTTTCGCCCACCCGGATTTGACAACCACAATTGCGATTATATAAAATATCAATGCCAAGCACAAAAACTTTAGAAATTTTATCTTTAAAACATGCTGCAAACTTGTTTGGTATACGGATGCTGAAGTAATGCCAGAAAAGGAAACATTTCATGACACCGGTGAGCAACGTAAGATTGTTTACCATTTAAAGTGTTCAGTGTTTTGTTTTAAGTCAATACTTGAAGTGTGATGGTATATATTTTGTGAATGTTTTTACTTCTAAGTTATAATTTAAGTTATGTATATCCAGTCTTATTTGTTCTTTACTTAATCGCTTGCTAGACGAGGCAAAGCAACCAATTCTTATCGAGATATGCATGTCTTAAAACTCCTTGTTTCAACTGACTTTACCTCCAAGAAATGGAGGATTTTTTCATGACATTTTCTGAAAATATGAAGCAAATATTAAGAACAGAGCTGTATTGAAATCAAATGCAGTGCAGGATTAATTAATGAGCTCTTTGGTACATGTCTTACAATAAAAATTACCTGTATTAAACAGCTAGCCTGGACAATTTGACAGATTTGGACAAGCATGACGATGGTGTGTAAAGGTTTGCTTTATGCTAAAAGTTTTATAAATGCCATCTGGTGTTTCTGTAAATGAATTGTTTGTTACACAGTGTAGTAAACAGGTTAGTACATCAAAATCAAGATAAAAACTACTTTGTTCAATAATGTGCCAAATTTTGCTACTACCTTGAAATATTTGCTCAAGAAAAGCTTATCATGACATGCATGAAACATTAAATACAGTACTGCATCATCTGACAAAATCCATACGTTTTTCAATTCCAGGTGATGAAAAATTCACATAAGATGCATTGGTTGCAATGAAGTTGAATGTGGAAGAAGCAAAAATTGATGGCAAAGAACTTTTTATGTCTTTTGAAGAATTACAATATCATTTAAAAGAATAAGAGTAGCAATCTAGTAAAAGAAGCCACATGTGCCTTCAACATGAGACTTTTCCAATTATGTATAGTTACTTTGTACAAAATGCTATTTTAGATAAACTTGATTTTTAAGTCATTCACTGATATTTTTACCAAAAGACAAAAAGAAAAATTCAAAGGCATAATGTAAAATTCAAAAATTTGTCAAGTTGTTTGAACCTAGAAAAAATTAGTATAGGTAACTGTAATTTGTAAGGACACAAAAGAAAAGTAGTGCAAGAAGGTTAGCATTTTTGAGAATTAATAAGTTCTTGACATACATTACACAAGGCCATAATATTATAAATAATGTCTGTATAATAACAATTATACAACATGCTAAATATCTTCACCTACATTATAATTATTTAAACAGGTTTGCCTTCATGCAGCAATAAGAAAAGTGTTATGTCAGAGAAACCAATGCACTTTAATTTAAGAAATAGTATTTTCAATGGGAAATTAACGTAGTTCTGTTCAGTAGTAGATCCATGGTTGTCAATAACAATCCAGTTTCTAATATCTTGGCTCAAAACAGAACCAGCAACATGATTAGAGAATTTCTGAATTTCGTTCTTTTGCTCTCCTAGTTCAAGATATTTCCCTCATAAGTTCTCAGTAGATTTATCAGAATATCATAATACTTTATAAGACATCCAGAATCAATCCTACAAAAAAAAACTCAAAAAATTACATACCTACTAATAATATATTTCCAGTCGACTTTAGTCGTAGGGGTAAGCTAACTTTTTCTAACTCCTTTTTGGACATTTTAACTAAGATTTACCCATCTATTCAAGAAAGACAGTTGCACCAAGCTGTTCACAAACAGTCAAAAACACAAGTAAAGTGCATGGGATTATGAATTAAAGCTTAACAACACATTGACAGTGTAAAGATTGCCGTTTGATATTTATTTCTAATATAGCTAAAGCATTACTTGAAAAAATATACGTTATTTTACAGTAGATTTACCTCAATTAAATGTGTGTGTCTATTTCACAAAAACCTGAAGCATTATTTTCAATATTTTATGCTTACGGTATTGTGGTTGTTTTCGCTGGTTGTCATTACTATGAGCAGTAATAGAGATCCGTTTCGGGAGGGAGCGAATGTTAAAAATTTTTCTCAAAGTGGAAGTTTTGACAAACAAAATCCGCCATTACCGCCATGTTTTTGACCACGAGGCCCAGGCTCCTTTTCCCCTCCAGTTATTATAGAGCTCAATGGTTTAAACCGGAAAAGAACTTAGCGGGGTGATGTTGAATGTAATAGGTTATCATAATAAAGGGAAATGAAACAAATGACAAATGACATTGCGTTTATAACGGTAGTGACGATGATGTGTTGTTTTCCATCAAATAAAAACATTTTTCGAAACTTAACGTGACAAGAAACATTGTGACTTTGAAAGATCTATCTGTTCAAGCAGTTTTCCTGAACCTGTATCAAACATTGGTAAATAGAGGAGTTAAAATATCCTTGGAGACTCTAACGAAGTATAAATTCACGTTGTATTGGTTAAGTATAACGAAGTATTTATTAAGTATAAATAGTAACACACGTTGATTTGAAGAGACATACAGATATGGATAAAGTCCTGGAAAAGTGTTTTTCCGTGTAACGTTAAAAGTTGGTTTCAGCTATGAGTACACTGCTAGCACTACGCGTCAGAGCCTGATTGTTTTTTCCACAAAGCAGATTTGTCACTACAAGAAATGTAAAGGCATAATTGCTTATCCGGACAATGTCGGCAAACTGCATTTGTTTCCCAAAAGTTGGTGACCTGAATTAAATAAACTCATACAAGATCATGAACAAATGCACTTGTATGCAGGACGAACATTTAAGTCTAAATTGAATTTTATTTAGCTTTTTTTGTTGCAATGATAAATTTATGTAGACCTTTAAATTTTGAAAAGTATGGGAACAATGTTATTCGTATCATAAATTTTATTACTTTAAAGATCAAAGGCAGCCTATATTGCACTATATGTTCCATCTTATGTTGTATTAAATAACCGGAAATATTGATGTAATTAATTTACAAGAAATATTAGCTAATTTATTAAAGCATCCAATAAAATGTCAGAAAGCACTCATTGTGTATTACACGATTCTATATATAGT